GTGCTGCCCTCGCCTGCCTCAGTTTCCCTCCCCTCCCAGGCTTGGGTGGGGTGGGGCTGGAGCCAGTGCAGTGTGAGAGGGGGGCCCGCCCCGGGCCCTGGCGGGAGGGCCAGGTCAGAGAGTTTGGCCCAGGCAGAGGCTGGGGAAGGGTTAAGCGGGCTGGGCCTCCTCCCTCTGCCCGCAACTTTTATTAGCTTTGGTTTCTGAACCACTTAAGGACATTCCCAGCCTCCCGCAGGGGCAGGGAGAGGTGCCGGTGGCGGTGGCGCCGGTGGGGGCGGCAGAGGTAACGCCGGGCTCCATCAGCACCCGGCAGGGGAGGGGGGCCAAATCCCAAAGCGGGGAGTCCTGAATGTCTACCTTGGGGGCTCCCCAGCTCACTGGGGGACCCTGAACAAGTCACTCCCCTCTCCGGGGCTCTGTGGGTGCAAGGCAGGGTGCTTAATATTTAGGGGGTGTGGGGAAGTCTGAACCTTTCAGTGCCCTTTCTGTCCCCCAGTGCCAAAGGCTCCTGGCGCAGGTGACCATGGCTAGAGGAAGAGACAGAGGTTCGGAGTGGGTGAAGCAGTGCTGGGCTGGAGGCCTGGCTCCTGACTCGGGATCCCCTCCACCCACAGCACACGAGAATCCTCTGAACTCAGGAGAAGAAGCCTCAAGTCTCCCGTGGCCTGCTTCCTCCTCCGGCTGGTGTTGGGGCCCAGGGGCCCAGGGCTCACCCAGGAGGAGAGGGAGGTGCCGCCTACAGGCTTTCTGGGCACCCGGCACAGGAAGGGACCGGGAATGCCACCTCCCCTCCCCCGGGGCTGGCTCAGCCAGGATGGCCCTGCAGGGTCCCAGGGAGGCCCCCTGACCCTTGCTGTGGGCTCTGCAGCAGAAAACCTCCCGCAGTGGCCAGAAGACTAGAACACGGCCCCTGGGGACCCCACACATCCACCCGCAGTTCTGCGGCTGCTGGGGAGCTGTCTGAGCCTGCGACCCTGCATCCTCCGACCCTCTCCCCAGCACAAACCTGGAAGGAGGAGAGGCTCAAAGGCCAGCCGCTTACCATAACCCGCAGACTCACACACTCCCGGCCCGCACAGGCACAGACGACAGCCCCTGACTGGGGTGGGGGCGGGGGACACCTGGGGCTACGGCTGCCCTCCCACACCCGCCTCCGCAGGAAGCTGGGATTCCCGGCCCCTCTCCGAGCCTCCTCTGTTAACTGCCTGTCTGCCTGCCTTCTGGGGGTGGTGAGACACGGCTCACGGCTCACGCTCACTCAGCTGCAGCCATCTGAACCGGGAACGGGGAACGTGAATGCCAGCCCTGCCCCATCCTGTCTGCCCTACTGATGATGCCTCTCCGCCCCCACCCCTCACACTGTCTCTGATGTGGGCTGAAGCCTGGGGTGGGGCTTGGATGCTGTCCTGGGAGGCCCCACGCCCCGCCATGGGTTGCTTCAGTTTCCCCCGGCCTTCCCGTGGTCCCCCTAGGCCTCGGCATGGAGGGGGTTGGAGGTTGGGGAGGTGTAAAGCCCTGTGTGACCCTGGGCAGATCCCTTTAGCTCTCCGGGCCTCAGTTTTCCCGTCTGTACAATGGGAAGCAGCTGGTAATGGCCCTGGTCCCATGGCTCTGCCATGACGGTCTCCAGGAAACACCCCTGGAGACTACACAGGCAGAGTCTGGGGCCACACCCCATCCTCCCAGGACCAAGGTGGAGGGAAATCTGGCCTTAGGGAGAGGCCAGGCGGAGGCTCAAGGCCCGGGTTGGGTGTGGGAGGCTGGCGCCCCTATGCCGGGGGGTGTGGCGTGGGACCCAGCAGGCCCTCTTTGCCCTGAGCCCCCCTGGGCCGGCCCCTCTGCCCTGCCCCTCCCGCCCCCCCGCAGCCGGCCTCTTGGCCCCTACCTGTGCCTGATAAATGCCCGCAGGATCCCTTGGTCCTAATCCCACAAAGGAACGGTTTGCAGGGGACGTGTCGGGCGGAGAGTAGGCTGCAGGGAGGAGAGAGACCGAGAGCCCGTTAGCGAGGGGTCGCGGCGGCCGGGCAGCCCTGGGCCCAGAGAGGGTGGCCACCGCCGGGCGCCACACAGCTGAGCCTCCGCACCCGGTGCCTGGGGCCTCGGAGCCTGCTGCCCTCCCCCGGCTGAACCGGGCCCCCTTGAAAGGCCTGAGGTCCCTGGGAGGCGGGGATCCTGACTGGAGGGACCCAGGGGTCACAGCTGAGATCGCCCAGGGGTCACAGCTGAGATCGCCCAGGTGGGTGGGGTGTCTGCCGAGAGGGACGGCAGGGCGGATGGCTCCATAATTCACGAACTGCCTGTGAATTATCCAGGGTGCGCCAGTGCCCACCCCATCCTGCCACTGCAGGCTGCCTCCGTGCAGGGCGCATGCATTATTGAGGGCGTTTTATTTATTAATCTTCTTCCTGGAGAGGGCAGAGGGAGGGCTGGGGGTGCGTACGCACAGATGCGCGTATTTATTTCAAGTCTCAGCCGTTATGTTCTGCCAGCCTGTGAGTAACTCACCGCCTGGTGCCACGGCGGGGACGGGGGCCGCAGACAGGCCCAGGCCCAGCACAGGGGAGAGGCAGCCGAAACAGGCAGGGTCCCCGAGTTGTCTTGGCTAGGGCTGGGGGGGGGTGGGGGGGGGCTGGGGGGAGCTGGAGGCAGCCAGGCTTAGGGGGAGAAGTGGGGTGGATCTGCAGTTACGAGCCCCACTGCAGGGAAAGGGGGGTGGAATCCATGCCTATCCTGCCTTTATTAAATGTCTACTGTATGCCAGGCAGTAGGCATGATCACACTAAGCCCTGAGTGAACCCTACACAGTATCCTGCATCTATTAAGTGTCTACTGTATGCCAGACACTGGACATAATCCCACCGAGCTCTGAGTGAACCCTACACACTAACTTGCATCTATTAAGTATCTACTATATACCAGGCACTGGACATAATCCCATTGAGCTCTGAGTGGATTCTATACAGCATCCTGCATCTATTAAGTATCTACTGTATGCCAGGCACTGGGTATAATCCCACCGAGCGTGAGTGGACCCTACACGGAACACTGCATCTATTAAGTGTCTACTGTATACCAGGCATTGGACATAATCCCATTGAGCCCTGAGTAGATCCTATGCAGTATCCTGCATCTATTAAGTGTCTACTGTATGCCAGGCACTGGGCATAATCCCACCGAGCCCAGAGTGGACCCTATACGGTATCCTGCATCTATTAAGTGTCTACTGTATACCAGGCACTGGACATAATCCCATTGACCTCTGAGTGGATTCTATGCGGTATCCTGCACCTGTTAAGTATCTACTGTATACCAGGCACTGGACATAATCCCATTGAGCTCTGAGTAGATCCTATGCAGTATCCTGCATCTATTAAGTGTCTACTGTATGCCAGACTCTGGGCATAATCTGACTGAGCCCTGAGTAGATCCTATGCAGTATCCTGCATCTATTAAGTGTCTACTGTATGCCAGGCACTGGGCATAATCCCACCCAGCCCTGAGTGGACCCTACACGGTATCTTGCATCTATTAAGTGTCTACTGTATACTAGGCACTGGACATAATCCCATTGAGCTCTGTGTAGATCCTATGCAGTATTCTGCATCTATTAAGTGTCTACTGTATACCAGGCATTGGACATAATCCCATTGAGCTCTGAGTAGATCCTATGCAGTATCCTGAATCTATTAAGTGTCTACTGTATGCCAGACTCTGGGCATAATCCCACTGAGCCCTCAATAGATCCTATGCAGTATCCTGCATCTATTAAGTGTCTACTGTATGCTAGGCACTAGGAATAATCCTACTGAGCCCTGAGTCAATCCTATGCAGTATCCTGCATCTATTAACTGTCTACTGTATACACTGGGCATAATCCCACCAAGCTCTGAGCAGATACTACCAGGCACTGGGTATAATCCCACCAAACCCTGAGCGGATCTTAAGTGGCATCCTGCATCTATTAAGTATCTACTGTATACGAGGCTCTGGGCATAATCTCACTGAGCCCTGAGTGGATCCTATGCAGCATCCTGCATCTGTTAAGTGTCTACCGTATGCCGGGCAGTGGGCAGAATCCCACGGAGCCCTGAGCGAATCCTATGCAGTCAATGCTCCCATTTCACAGAGGAGCAGGCAGGGACAGCTGGTGAGAATTACCACAGCCACCTGACACAGCACAGCACCAGGCGCCACACGGAATGTCCTCCCTGACCCATGTCACCAGCTTACTCCCCACCACCCTGTGAACTGGGCACCAAGGCAGACCCATTTTGCAGCTGAGAAAACTGAGGCTCAGAGAGGAGAAGACGCCTGCCTGAGGTCACACCGGAAGACAGCTGCAGAGGCGGGATTCCAGCCCAGGGTGGATTTGGGGCTGACCCCCTCCAGCCAGTGATCAGAAGCCGGTTTTTACCGGCTGGCAGCCCCGGTTCTGGCAGGCAGTGGGGACAGGGCAAGGAACGCCGGGGCAGGGGAAGAGGAGACAAGGACGCCTAGAAGGAGCCGTGGCCACTAACTGCTCAAGAGGGCTGTGGGGTCTCACTTGAGCGTGGGACAGAGATGTTCAAAAAGGGGGGTGAGGGGAAGATGGAGTCCTCTCTAGGCTCTGAGATGTCTGGTGGCCTGTGAGGGTGGGTGACCCACCCAAGCCTGCACAGGGGTTGCAGGGACAGTCTGGGGGCTTCGGATGAACGGGGTGGGGGCAGAGCTGCTGCGAACGAACTCCACGTGGATCCTACGTGGTGTCCTGCATCTATTAAGTGTCTATGGTATACTCAGGCTGGGATCCCAGGATTGGGGGGCCGTCCAGCGGCCATCCAGAACCACATCCAGAGAGTGGAAAAGTCTAGAAGCTGCAGCAGCCGCCGACCCAGGGGCTTCCGGGTGAGGTGGCAGGTGAAGAGGGTCCCATCTAAAGGTGTGCTCCAGCCAGGTCACCCAAAGGAACTGGGCCTGATATGGCTCATTTCTCCCCAAGAAGCCAGAACTCCAGAAAATTTTATGTGAAACGTCCTGATTTTAAAACGATCACACTGATTCTCCTTTTCCACAAACGAAAGACCAGTCTGGGGGTCGAGTCTGGCCCTTGGGCTGCCACCTGAGATCTGTGTCCACCGTCAGCTTCCTGACACACCAGGGGAGGTTTTCAGCAGACTGCAGTGGAAACCACGGTCGCCCAGGCTACTCAGCGAAGGGGACAGACCCTGGACTCTCACCCTGGGCCGTGGCTTGGTCCTGCCAGCCCCTAAGGCTGCCTCAGCCCTATGTGGCCAGACCACACGGCCCCTGGGCTGCTCTCCAGAGACCCACCAAACTCGCCAGGTCCTGCAGGGTTGGGCCTGACCTCTGACCTGGCAGTGGGGCTGGGAAGAGGACAGGCCTCCCTGCGGACGTCCGCCCCACCAGGGCACCGCTTCCCGCGTGCTTACAGGGCGAGGTCGGCGACGTGGCTCCTCCCTCGGAGGTGGTGGTGGGTTTGGTGGCAGGGGGGAGCGCCAGCCGTGGCAGCCCCGGGGGCGGAGGAGCCAGCATCTGAGCGGAAAGGCAGTGGCTGGGCATTTTGAGCTGACCACTTCCATTTAACTGGGGGAACAGAGAGACACATGGTTAAGGAGTGGGCTCCCCCTCTGCCTCGGTCTGCTGGCGCCGGCCGCCCCCGGCTCTGTGCACGGCCCAGGCTGGGAAGCTAGCAGGCTGGGGGGCCAGGGCGCGGGTGTGGCCGTGATGGGTTTGGTGGGTCTGAGGGGCCTGGGGACGCCCGCTTCCCGGTGTCACTCGAAGCCCGGCACTGCTGGGGCCTCGCTCACTGCAACTCCCCCGTAAACCCCCTGCATGGCAACTCGACCGACATCCTTCCAAACAGCGCCACAGCCTCCTCACAGCAAGCCCTCCGTGTGCTCCTCATTCGATATGAGCACACAATCGTCCATCACCCACGGCCTGGCCCGTGGTTGCAAAGTCCAAAAGGCTCCGAACACCCAAAGCTTCCTATGCAAGTCTGGCGAAAGCTGGCTTGCTTGAGCTGAGTTTCGTTGTTTCTTTGCAATCAATTTCTTCCTGCCCTTTTTTTCCTTTCTTTTTTTTTTTTTTTGCTGAATCCTAACCACTAGACCACCAGGGATTTTTTCTTTTGAGACAAGGTCTTGCTCTGTCACCCAGGCTGGGGTGCAGTGGCACAATCTCAGCTCACAGCAGCCTCCACCTCCCGGGCTCAAGCGATCCCCCCACCTCAGCCTCTTCAGTAGCTGGGACTACAGGCGCACACCACCATGCCTGGCTAATTTTAAAATATTTTTCGTAGAAACCGGGGACACGCTCTGTTGCCCATGCTGGTCTTAAACTCTGGGCTTATGCAGTCCTCCCGCCTTGGCCTCCTAAAGTGCTGGGATCACAGGCGTGAGCCGTTAGGCCTGATCCCTCTCTGCCTTGTTAACCTGAGGACGACCCATGCCGTTGCTGGGACCTGCGTAGGCCACCGACCCGTCTGAGACCCTCGCATAGGAAAGCATCTCGATTCTTACCCAATCCAGCTGCCTCCCAGCCCTACAGAGGAGGGGATTTCAGAACCGAGTCTCCAGGGCCCTTTAAAGCAGAGGTTGTGCGTTCGTGTGAGCACGCGGCCCCCGGAGGTCGCCTGGAGCCGCCAGGAGAGGCCCGGGACGCACCCCGCCTGACTCACCGGTCCAGGCTGCTGGCTGGCTGGGTCGCAGGCCAGCGAGACGAGATCTTTGAGCGGGTCCTGGGGGTTGAGATGAGGCGGATAGCGAATGGCCGTGTGGGGGAAGTAGGTGGAGGCCGTCTGGGGCAGGATGGACGTTGTGGGGAAGTGCAGAGCGGAGGACGGGTGGGGGCTCCGGGCGATCCCTGCGGAGACAGTGGGAGGTAGGGGTTACTCGGGGGGCCCCCGGCCGGTCTGCCCTGCGGCTATGTGACTGTGGTTCCTGCCTGCATCTCAGTGCGTTTTTTTATTTATTTTCCCTCCTCTTCAAGTGCGTTTAATAATAATAATATCAACAACCAAAAAAACCCAGCAGCACATTTACCCCTAAATTCCCCGGCTCCCAAGGCAACCCCCAATGGGGCTGTGATATTATCCTTGTGTTTTAGTTTTATAGAGGTGGGGGTTTTGCTGTGTTTGCCAGGAGGGTCTCAAACTCCTGGGCTCAAGCGATCCTCCCTCCTCGGCCTCCCAAAGTGCTGGGATTACAGATGTAAGCCCCTGAGTCTGGCTGGCTTTTTTTTTTTTTTTTTTTTTTGGAGACAGTCTCACGCTGTTGCCGAAGGTGAAGTTCAGTGGTATGACCTCAGCCCACTGCAAACTCCACCTCCCGGGTTCAAGCAATTCTCCTGCCTCAGCCTCTCAAGTAGCTGGGATGACAGGTGCCCGCCACCATGCCCAGCTAATTTTTGTATTTTAGTAGTGACAGGGTTTCACCACATTGGCTAGGATGGTCGGGAACTCCTGACCTCACGTGATCTGCCTGCCTTGGCCTCCCAAAGTGCTGGGATTACAGGCGTGAGCCACGGCACCTGGCCCCATCTTTTAACAGACGATGACAAGGTTGCCTTCAGGGTATGTGCCACCTGTCCAAGGCCACAAAGCATCAGATGGCAGACCTTGAATCTGAATCCAGCCCATCTGGGCCCACGGCCTATATTATAAAGCTGGGGTTGGCAAGCTCTTTCTGCAAATGGCCGAAGAATGATTTTTTTTTTTTTTTTTTTTTTTTTGAGACAGTTTCACTCTTGTTGCCCAGGCTACAGTGCAATGGCATGATCTCGGCTCACTGCAACCTCTGTCTTCTGGGTTCAAGTGATTCTCCTGCCTCAGACTCGCGAGTAGCTGGGATTACAGGTGTGTGCCACCACACTACGCTAATTCTGTATTTGTAGTAGAGACAGGATCTCTCTGTGTTGGTCAGGCTGGTCTCGGACTCCTGAACTCAGGTGATCTGCCTGCCTCAGCCTCTCAAAGTGCTGGGATTATAGGGGTGAGCCACCGAGCGTGGCCTTTTTTTTTTTTTTAAGAGATAGAATTTCACTTTGTTACCCATCTGGAGTAGCATGGTCATGGCTCACTGCAGCCTCAACCTCCTGACCTCAGGTGATCCTCCCACCTCAGCCTCGTGAGTAGCGGGGACTGCAGGCGTTTGCCACCACGCCTAGGTAATTTTTTGTATATTTAGTAGAGATGGGGTTTCACCATGTTGTCCAGGCTGGTCTCAAACTCCTGGACTCAAGCAATCCACCTGCCTCGGCCTCCCAAAGTGCTGGGATGACAGGCGCGAGCCTCCGCACCCAGCCTAATGCCAGCACATCAAGAAGCCCCATCCCCATCGGCAGTCACTCCTCACCCCTCCCCCTGCCCTGGCACCCACACATCCCCTCCCTGTCTCTGTGGCTTGGCCTGTCCTGGACATTTCATAGAAATGGGATCACACAGTGTGGCTTTTTGTGTCTGGCGTCTCTCGCTGAGTGGGATGTCCTCAAGGTGTATCTGAGCTGTGGCCTGCGTTAGAGCCTCGCTCCTTTTCACGGCTCAGTCGTAGTCTATTGTGATATCTGCCTTTTCCTTTTTCTAAACAGTTCAGTCCGTGATTTTTAGTATTTTCACTATTTATAGCAGTTACTCCCCTGCCTCTCCAGCCTCTGGCTGGAGAGTAAAGATTTTTGACTTTTGGCCATGTGGTCTCTGCTGTAGTTACTCAGCTCTGCCAAGGCAGGGTGGGAGCTGCCACAGGACATATACAAAGGCGTGCTCGTGGCTGTGTGCCAATAAAACTTTATTCAAAAGAAGAGGAGGCCAGAGGGCTGGTGTTTGCTGCCCCTGGCCGTAATGACTGCTTTGATTTGGGTTTGCCTCTGTGTGTGTGTGACTGTGTCCTTGTAAGGAACTAAATGATTTATCACTAGAACATGAGGTCGTAAGAAGTATTTGAGGCTTCCTGCAATTCACCCCCCTTAATCCCAATGGCAGCCACGGGAGGCGGAGAATTTTTGTTTTGCTTTGTTGAGACGAAGTATTGCTCTGTCTCCCAGGCTGGAGTGCAGTGGCTCGATCTTGGCTCACTGCAGCCTCCGCCTCCCAGGTTCAAGCAATTCTCGTGCCTCAGCCTACTAAGTAGCTGGGATTACAGGCATGTGCCACCACGCCCGGCTAATTTTTGTATTTTAGTAGAGATGAGGTTTCACCACGTGGGTCAGGCTGGTCTCGAACTCCTGACCTCAGGTGATCCACCTGCCTTGGCCTCCCAAAGTGCTGGGATTATAGGCCGGAGCCAACGTGCCCGGCCAAGGTGGAGCTGTCTTATCAGTCCCATTTGGGAGGTGGGGAAAGGGACGGCTACTGTGTGAGTGTCCGGCTCAGCTCCCGACCTGTGGTTACGCCACGTCTACGTCTATCTGTGAGTGTGACCCTATGGCCTGTCTGGGAGTCTCTCTTGCATGACTTTTTCTTCTCTAGAGGGAGGGTCTTGCTGTCACACAGGTTGCATGCAGTGACAAGATCACGGCTCACAAAGGCCTCGAACTCCTGGCCTCAAGCAATCCTCCTGCCTCAGCCTCCCGGGTGGCTGGGACTACAGGTGCATGCCACCACAGCTGGTCTCTCTCAGGTGACTTCGGTGGGGCCCTCTCAGCTCTGGGGATGCGTGAGGCCCTGGCTCCAGTCTGAGCATTGGCCTCACGGTCTGTGAAATGGGGTACCCTGACCCTCAGGGTGCTGGGGAGGCTGCCTGCTGTGTGCTCAGCTGCAGGCTGTGGCCTCATTGGCAATTTCTTCTTTTTTTTTTTTCTTTTTTTGATGAAGTCTTGCTCTGTCTCCCAGGCTGGAGTGCAATGGCACGATCTTGGCTCACTGCAACCTCTGCTTCCTGGGCTCAATCGAATCTCCTGCCTCAGCCTCCCGAGTAGCTGGGATTACAGGCAAATGCCACCACACCTGGCTAATTTTTGTATTTTTAGTAGAGATGGGGTTTCACCATGGTGGCCAAGCTGGTCTCAAACTCCTGACCACAGGTGATCCGCCTTCCTTGGCCTCCCAAAGGGCTGGGATTCCAGGTATGAGCCACCGCACCTGGCCTCACTGGCAGCTTCTGATCCTGTCTATCAGTCAGTGTCTAGGGTTGGAATGCAGGGATTGGACTGAGATGGGGGATGAGGAGAGTGAGGTGAAGGGTAAGCCCCAGGCCGCAGCCTCTCCTTATACAGAGGAGGAAACTGAGGCCCAAAGGGACTGAGAACAACCTCTCGGCAGGGCTGGGACCAGGTCTGGGGCGCTCTCCGGGCACCTCTATGTTTTTTTCCCACCTAGAAATCTACAGCAATGGGACTCATGGTCAGACATCCAGTGGGACTTCCCTGGCTGTGAGAGGCCTGATCGGAGGGCCCTGCCACCCCTCCCCACCGGGGCCCCGTGGCGCTCACCGCTGTGCACGGCGATGACGGGCCGGTGGTGCTGGGTGAAGCTGGAGAGTCGGGGAGAGTCCTGCGGGGACGGGCTGTTGAACGGCGACTTGTCCATCTCTGTCTTCTTCACCGGGGATGAGATGCCTGTGGAGGGGATGGGATGAGAGTGTCACAGACCGGTCCCACCCCAGGAGCCCTGGACTTTCCCCAAAGCCAGCCTCCAAAGGGGCAGGAAGCCCCATCACCCTGCCTCCTCTTCCCCCAGAATCTGGAGGGGGAGAGGCTGCGAGCTCATGACACAGAGGAGCACACGGAGGCTCAGAGCAGAGAAGGGGCTGACCAGGGCGGCGTGGCTGGGGATGGAGAGCCGGGTGCCAGCGCGTGGCCTGGGGCCTCACAGCCCGGCCCTCGCCTACTCTCCTTCCAGAGAAACGGGAAGGCTCAGGGCTCCCCCCATCACCTGGGGGTCACTTGCGCCCTAGGGAAGGCGGCGGGGAGGGCGGCGAGGGTCAGGTCGGAAGCCCAGTTAGACCCTGACCGGCAGAAGGTGCACAGACAAGCTCAGCTCAGCGTTCCCTCGTCCACAAAGGAGGAAGAAGGAACAGAGCCTCCCTGGGGCTGAAGTGAGATGCAGCCACCCTCTGCTGTCACTTGTTGGAATCACTCTGCAGACGGGGGCCTCACTACCTTCCCAGGCTGCCTGGAACACAAACCCCGACAGCTCCCAGCTCCGCCCCTCACACCTTCCTCAGTGAATTAACGAATGAAGAAACAGATGGAGGCCAGGCACGGTGGCTCACGCCTGCAATTCCAGAGCTTTGGGAGGTCGGGGCGGGCAGATCATTTGAGGCCAGGAGTTCAAGACCAGCCCGGCCAACATGGCGAAACCCCGTCTCCACTAAAAATACAAAAATTAGGCGGGCTTGGTAGCAGGTGCCTGCTATCTCAGCTACCTGGGAGGCTGAGGCAGGAGAAACACTTGAGCCTGGGAGGCGGAGGCTGCAGTGAGCCGAGATCGCACTGCTACATTCCAGCCTGGGCGACAGTGTGAAACTCCATCTCAAACACAAAAAAATATTTGGGTAGCCTGTAATCCCAGCACTTTGGGAGGCCGAGGTGGGTGGATCACCTGAGGTCAGGAGTTCAAGACCAGCCTGGTCAACATGATGAAACGCTGTCTCTAATAAAAATACAAAAATTAGCTGGGCGCAGTGGTGCACGCCAGTAATTCCAGCTACTTGGGAGGCTGAGGCAGGGGAATCACTTGAACCCGGGAGGCAGAGGTTGCAGTGGGCAGAGATTGCACCATTACACTCCAGCCTGGGCAACAAGAGAGAAACTGAGACTCTGTCTTAAAAACAAACAAACAGCTGATGGATGGACTCAGGTGGGCTTACCCACTAAACATGGGTTTCCCTCCCCATCCAGACATCCCCCTGGAAGGCTCCTGGGTGTGAAGGAAGCAGCTGGTCTAGGGTTCAAACCCCAGCTGGCCGTGGAGGCTGTGTGACCTGGGTGAGCCGCCACGTCCACCCCTTTTCAAAAAACGGGATTCTGCGAAGCTCTGGAATTTCCGCCCGGTGCAGTGTGGGAATGGCACTTGTGAGGACTGGCCCAGGCTGCCTGGATGGGTGAAGCCCACAACTGTCCCGGATCCTTGGGCATCGGGTATTCTCCGAGGATGCCTTCAGCCCCACTACTCGGAGGAAACGTCAACTGCCCCGCTCAAAGAATGTTACGGCAGGAGCCGCAGCTGCTGCTGTTAGGGGTGAGTGGGGGGATGACAGGGCACCCCTTCACACTTCACCACCGTCTTCAAAATGAAGCGAGAACACAGAGCCCCAGACAGGGCCACTTGGGGTATTTCGAGGAGGCTGGGGTGGAGTCTGGCTCTGCAGCTGAAATGCCTGGGCCTCCCGGGGATGGGTGGTGGCTTTTTTTTCTCTTTTTTATTTTTGAGATGGAGTCTTGCTCTGTCGCCCAGGCTGGAGGGCAGTGGCGCAATCTCAGCTCACCCCGACCTCCGCTTCCCGGGTTCAAGCAATTCTCCTGCCTCAGTCTCCCGAGTAGCTGGGATTACAGGCTCCCACCAATGCATCTAATTTTTCTATTTTTAGTAGAGATGGGGTTTCACCATCTTGGCCAGGCTGGTCTCCAACGCCTGACGTCGCGATCCACCATGCTTAGTCCTTTTTTTTTTTGGTTTTTTTGGTTTGTGCCACCGGGCCCGGCCCCTTTTTTTTTTTTTTTTTTGAGTCTCAATTTGTGGCCCAGGCTGGAGTACTGTGGCGTGATCTCGGCTCACTGCAACCTCCTTCTCCCAGGTAGCTGGGATTATAGGCACCCACCGGCCCGGCTAATTTTTGTATTTTTAGTAGAGACGGGTTTCACCATGCTGGCTGAGCTGGTCTAGAACTCCTGGCCTCAAGTGATCCACCTACCTCCGCCTCCCAAAGCGTTGGGGTTACAGGCGTGAGCGACTGCACCTGGCCAATTTATGTGTCGCCAGGCTGGGGGGCAGAGGCACGATCATGGCTTACTGCAGCCTCAACCTCCAGGGCTTAAGTGATGTTCCCACCTCAGCCTCCCAGATAGGTAAGTGAGATCACAAGCATGCACCATAAGGCCCAGGCAATTTTTTTTTTTTTTTTTAGAGATGGGGTCTTGCTATGTTGCCTAGGCTGGTCTCAAACTCCTGGGCTCAAGGGATCCTCCTAGCTTGGTCTCTCAAAGTGCTGGGATTACAGGCGTGAGCCACAGCACCTGGCCCCAGGGAAGCTTTTTCAAGTAAAGACTAAGGATCACATCTTGCCTGGACAATGCTGCGTCCTGGGCCCTACCAGATCCCTAGGAATGGAATCTCAGGGTGGTGTGCCCTGGAGAGCCACGTTTTTAGGAATGATTCTTAAGTTCCTTGTAAGGTAAAACATGGACTGAGACCATCCAAACAAGGTGGTAATTTAGCTTCCCTCTGACCTGGCCCTTGGAGCACCTTCCCTCCAGGCTGTCTCAGATTAGCCCTGTGGACACTAGGGCCGGATCGTTCTCTGGGGTGAGGCCCTCCTGGGCACTGCAGGGTGCGAAGCAGCGTCCCTGCCTCCACCCACTCCATGCCAGGGGCACCGCCAGTTATGACAACCACAGATGTCTCCAGACATCACCAAAAGTACCCTGGGGCAGAATCACCCCTGGGTGAGACCCCCTGGGTTAGGGGATTCCACAGACCCTCCAGGAGACCGTATCCCATGATCCTCTGCCCTACTGAGGCCCCAGGAGCCTGCACACATTGAAATCCAAACCCCGAGTGGGAGGGAGAGAGGAGGAGAGTCCCAGGAGCTGGGCCCCCTGGTTTCCACTGTCCGCCCCATTGGGAGCTTCCAAATAATTCATTCAGGATTTCTCAGTCTCAACACCGCTCATGCGGGGGGCCAGATCAGCCTCTGTCGGGAGCTGTCCTGGGCACTGCAGGGTGCTGAGCAGCATCCCTGGCCTCCTCCCACCCCATGCCAGGAGTACCCCTCAGTGGTGACAACCAGGGATGTCCCCACATGTCACCTGGTGTCCCTATGCCTTGGGTTCCCTGCCAATGGTTCCACAGGCACCTGCAGGCATCTTGAGGCACCCCCCTTGCCAGCCTGTCCCCACCACCTCTGTCCTCCCAGCATTGCTGCGTCCTTCCCCAAATGGGGCCACCACGCAGGGAACTTCCATTCTCTCTGATGGCTGCAGCCCAGGGGGAACCCAGATCCTGGACCCAGCCACGGGGGGTGTGTAGCTCCTCCTCTGCTTTTTGGTTCCGGAACCAGCTGTCCCCATGACCCTGCACACATCATGCTGTGTGGGAGCAAAGGTGTCGCCGGGACACATCCCAGAAGCGGGTCAGCAGGGCCGAGGCCCCGGGAACACCCGGCTCTGGAGGGGACTGGCACCCAGGACACCCACACAGGGGCCAGGAAGGGTGACGCCTCCACTCATGCCTGGCCTGTGAACACTCACGGGGGAACACTCGTAAGCCCGGGCATGGAGGCTGAGCCGACCAGAGTGGCCCCACTACCTGGAGGGATGCCAAGAAGTCTGTGGCCAAGCTGGGCCCCAGCAGCCAGGCCTGGGAGTTTTCCAAGGCAGGAGAATGTGGGAGGACTGTGGGTGGCCTGGAGCCAGGGAGGCCAGGCTGGTCCTGCCGGCACGTGTATGTGTGTGTGTGTATACACCTGTGCACGTGTGTGTATGTCTGGGCACATGTCTACATGAGTGTGCGCATGTATGCATGCCTATATGTGCGCATGAATACATGCACATGTGCATGTCTGTGTGTATGCCTGCACACGTGTGCATGTGCACAGCTGCATGCATGCATGCCTGTACACGTGTGTATGCCTGTGAGTGTATGTGCATGTGAGCACGCCGGTGCACTGTGTGCATGCAAGCATGTGTGTATGCCTGCACAGGCATGTTTATACTTATGCATGTGTGCACGTCTGTGCATGTGTCTACGTATGTGTGCGCATGCGTGCGTGTGCATGTGAATACATGGATGCATGTGTATGCCGGCACGTGCATGTTCATGTCTGTGTATCTGTGCATGCTTGTGTGTGCACGTGTGCAAGCATGCATGCGTTTATGTGTGTGCATGCCTGTGCACGTGTGTGGATGTGTGTGAGATTATGCACATGTGTGCGCGTGCGTGGAGGGCTGGCAGCTCCCTGCAGGCGCAGGGCCATGGCGGGAATGAGGTTAGGGGCTGTCAGACGCTCACTTAGGAGGATTTCCTAGAACAGCTTGTTCTGGATGGAAATAGTCTGCCCCAGACTCCACCCCCCGCCACCACATCCCTGCAGACACCACTAGCGCTTCCTGAGATGGGGCCTGCGGGAGCCAGGGCAGGGCAGGAGGGAGGGGGGTGCAGCCCAGGCACCAAGAGAATGAACAAGTGTGCATGTTCCCGGCAGGCTCTGACTCCGCGCCCCGCCTCCACGCATCCTCCATGTGTTCAGCAAGCATGCCGGGGACCCCCGTGGGGCCCCGCCGTCTGATGCACGCGATGCCCGCCAGTCCCCGTCCCGGCACACACCTCCCTGCTCAGCAGTGGGCCTGTGCGTCCCCCGTCCATCTCAGTGGTCATCTTTCTACTGAGGGGACACGTG